TTTTTTTTTTTTTTTTTTTTTGAGGAGCACGGGGGTCTTTTTATTAGGAAATTTTTGATACAAAACAAGTTTTGACTTTTTCATTAAATCCTTATAAGTGCACTTTAAAGTGAAATAAGAGGGAATAAGAAGGGAAATAATAAACAATACATCAATCAGTTTGTTCTCATTCACATTCATGAATCAGCAAGTACCCCATTCCCAAAAATTTCATCAGGTGACGGGATCGTATTTGTGCGCTTCTGAAAATGCTCAAGTAGTTCAAAGGAGAAAAAAAAGAAGAATGAAGAAACCAATCAACAGCAGGAAAATATGTCAAAGCAATAAACTTCCTTCTGTTTGAGGTTCATGAATCAATAAATCTCAGTCAAATCAGCTTGTGATGAGGTCACCTTACTCAATAAAATCTTGACGTTAAAAGGACGTGCGGCTTCATTTGAAATCAATTTCAAGTTTAAAGTGTTGAAATACAATCAATGTCCTTCATATTCATCGTTAAAAGCAGATTAAAATATATTCAAAGTGACGTGTGTGAATTCAAATCGAAGTTGTGATGTTCCTGCCCAAGAAATCAATCAATCAGATAAAACACGCAATGAACATTCCACTTTTCCTTTTCAGATAAAACCACAGTTCAGGACAAGCACATATATATATATATATATATACGTACATACATAAATTCCTACTTATGCACCCGCTCAAATCCAGATGGGACTAAATTTGTAAATGATGACAAGTCGATGTGATTACGAAGCTTCATGTTGATTCACAGGCTTCACCCATTGCATTTCTCTGCAAACAAGAAAGCAAAAAGAATCACCAACCCATTGAGAAATCATCTTGTTTTTGATGCTTCTTGAATTCAGGACAAAGTTGATTTGAGCTCCAGTCACAAAAAGGGTCCCGCCATTGTTTTATCGTTTGCAGCTTTGATCTTTTGTCTTTGTGTGATGCAAAGGGGAAAAAAAGTTCCTGTTGTCATAGAGCCATCATTTTTTTGTTGTTGTTCTTTGTTTTATGTTGGCAGTGTGAGCTGGGCTGCCGTTTATAATCGTTTGGAAGCCAGATTTTATTTATTTTTTCAACAGCTGAGCATCGGGCTGCACTTGTTATCATTCGTAAACCTCCCAGAGTTATTTTTCCGGTGATGAATTCAATGTCTTAGGATGGACTCAACTCAACTGTATTTATTGAGCACTTTCAGACAGCCATCGCTGCATACAAAGTGCTGTACATGGAGCAACTAACATATACAACAGTAAAGCAACAAATCGGGAACAAAGACGGTAGAAAGCACTGACGGTGCTTTGTCATGTTATGGAGGCAGCTTCCATTCTTCTGTCCCCCCCCAATCCCATGACTCGAAATTCCCACCGTGGATCGAGTAACTAAGCAGGGTCCAGATGTAACTTTTTTTTTTTTTTTTTTTTTTACTAAATGCGCTAAGGAGTGGCACCCAAATTTCGTTGTATGTAATACAATGACAATAAAGGTGATTCTGATTTTTTTTATTTTATTTTATTTTTTTTACTAGAAAAACAGTGGCCCCAAATGTAACATTTTAGGGAAACCGCTCCACTCATTTTCAGTATACGGTATTACTGGGAAATGGGGTGAGGTGTGGAGGAGAAATACATTCAAGATTTTTTTTTTTTTTTTTAAATCAGCAAATTTCCTTTTTTGTTGTTGTTCTTTGTTTTATGTTGGCAGTGTGAGCTGGGCTGCCGTTTATAATCGTTTGGAAGCCAGATTTTATTTATTTTTTCAACAGCTGAGCATCGGGCTGCACTTGTTATCATTCGTAAACCTCCCAGAGTTATTTTTCCGGTGATGAATTCAATGTCTTAGGATGGACTCAACTCAACTGTATTTATTGAGCACTTTCAGACAGCCATCGCTGCATACAAAGTGCTGTACATGGAGCAACTAACATATACAACAGTAAAGCAACAAATCGGGAACAAAGACGGTAGAAAGCACTGACGGTGCTTTGTCATGTTATGGAGGCAGCTTCCATTCTTCTGTCCCCCCCCAATCCCATGACTCGAAATTCCCACCGTGGATCGAGTAACTAAGCAGGGTCCAGATGTAACTTTTTTTTTTTTTTTTTTTTTTACTAAATGCACTAAGGAGTGGCACCCAAATTTCGTTGTATGTAATACAATGACAATAAAGGTGATTCTGATTTTTTTTATTTTATTTTATTTTTTTTACTAGAAAAACAGTGGCCCCAAATGTAACATTTTAGGGAAACCGCTCCACTCATTTTCAGTATACGGTATTACTGGGAAATGGGGTGAGGTGTGGAGGAGAAATACATTCAAGATTTTTTTTTTTTTTTTTAAATCAGCAAATTTACTGGTCACATCGGTTCAAGTAGAAAAAAAAAAAGACTGACACTGTCTCAAATTTAAGGAGCAAAAGGCCACCATTTAGGGGCAGTCTTGAGCCCCGCATAAAATCATATGAGGACAAAGAACAATTGGGTCCATTTCTACGGCGGCTCGCTTGGCAATCCCCACCATCTTTTCACGGTTTTCCCAATTCCACCAGCTGAAGTCCCGTCTTGTTTTATTTCAAATCCGGCTGTGAGGTTCCCCCCGTTTTGTGTTTTTGTGGGTGCGCACGGTGTTCACCTCAAAGGGTTCGCTTTTGATCCTCAGTGTTTCGCCGACGTCGGTGCCATCCACAGGCTGCAGGCACCACCACACTTCCTGTCCCACCAGCGGGAAGCACAGGAACTCGCCGTCATCCGCGGCCATCGCAGCCGCGCGGCCTTGCGAGAACCGGGGCGCCCCCGCCTGATTCGCGCCGCCCACCAGACATTCTTCCTCAAAGGAAGTGTCCGCACCGCCAAGACTCAACAGCTGGACGCAAAGGAACAGTTGCTATAATTGTATTATTGTCCACGTTTTATATTGTTCATTTTAGGCTCAATCGCCATAGACGATACGATGGTTCACCTCGGAGCGAGACATCAGGGCTGCTCGGTCCTTATGTTCGGCGCTGTGGGAGGGGCTCCACTCGCTCAGCATGTTGAGAATATCGCTGCTCATCGGATGATCCTGAAAGGCAAAACACATCACGGTACTCGGTCGGGCCGGCCAGGTCTCAACACGACCACAAGCACTCTCCGCCACGAGCAAACTGTGCAAACCAACGGGTCAAGAAATAACGTTTGGACCAAGTGGATTCTTCTCAAAAGACGGGCAGTACATCGGTCCGCGTTTATGAGAAATGACAATTCACACGCGGCATGAAGAATGCGCGGCGGCGCCGATAAGAGCTTACCTCCGAGCGAGACAATATGGCGGCTCGGTCCTTGTGCTCGCCGCTGTGGGCGGGGCTCCAGTCCGTCAGTATATTGAGGATCTCGCTGCTCATCAGGTGTTCCTGGAGTGCAAACGTGACATCATCACAGGGTCCTGCCACTTCTCCATGCCACCCTCAATTTTTTAAACTAGAGTCAAAGAGTCAAAGGTTTTGCCCTAAATTCATATTTTCATTGCTGTAAGCATCAAAAGCGGAAAAAAAAGAAGTGATTTCATTCATCATATATTTTCCTGATGAATCGGCCAAATAATCCGTCATTGGAAATGTTTTCTGAATTGGCTTGGTTAGCCATTCATCATTCCCTGAGTGTGGCGTGTACACCTTGGCCGCCGCGTCCGCCTTGAAGGCCACCTGTCCGGCGGAGGAAGACGAGGAGGAGGAGGAGGAGGAGGAGGCGGAGTCGGAGGAGCTGGATGACGAGGAGCTGGACGAGGTGGTGCGGTGCAGGCCTGAGTCGGGGTGCCGCCGGAGGATCTGGCGAGGTCCCTCCTTCTGCACTTTTCTCTTCAGGGTGGAGTTCCAGCGGTTCTTGATGGCGTTGTCGGGCCTGGGGAGACGCACACGGCAGGCGGTGGTAGGTCGGGCAGCGGCCCGGGCCGGGGCGGGGCCAGGCCGGGCCACACCGCACCGGGCCACCTACCTCCCGGGCAACAGCTTGGAAATGTTGGCCCAGCGGTTGCCCAGCACACGCTGCGCCTGGCAGATGATGCGGTCCTCCTCAGGCGTCCAGCGGCTCTTGATGACTTTTGGGTTGAGGTGGTTCAGCCAGCGCTCGCGGCACTGCTTGCCGTTGCGGCTGCGCATGTGCTTGGCGATCAGCGACCAATGCTTCTTGCCGAACTTGCGCACCAACTCCACCACCTGCCACACGTCACCATCACGCAGAGGCCTGGCCCGCCCAGCCAGCCGGCCGGCCGGCCAGCCCAGCCGGCCGCAAGGCGCACACTCACCCGCTCGTCCTCCTCCAGCGTCCACGGGCCTTTCACCGGCTCCACGCACTTCTCCTGCGCCCACTCGGCCACCGAGCCCTCGCCCTGACCACGTCCAAGTCTGCGTTATTATCGTCGTTCGAAAGAGTTTTGATCGTTGAGCGAATGCTGAAGAGCTCGTTCCGGACATGTGGTGGATAGAAAAACTCTACACACCCCCTGGTCCGCGACAGATTTTTGCGTGGTCAAAAAAAAATGTTGTGTGTGGAATTTCTTTGATCCACTACATTGCAAAGGATTCACAAAAGAGTGATTTTATTTTCCAGTTTTATTTAAAAAAAAAAAAAAGATAAAACTCCACACAACCCTGGTCAAATGCCAGAGTTCTGTGATATCAAAATTGAGCCACCTGATCTATAAAATGTGCAACTCGACCGAGAAAATAAAACTATTTTCAGGACGGGTGGTTGCACAATTATACACGCCCACAAGTGGGGATCTAGCTGCCAATCACAGTGAAGCTCACGTCCACCTGCGAACATCTGCCAACCTTTCAAGTGCCTCTGATAGAATTTAGCCCAAATAAGGTCCGTCTGTCCAAGTGGTCGGTTCCAATTGATTGATCTTGCCTCGGTTTTCACATCACAAAATGTTACCTTTTGAACAGGGCTCCATCTACTTTTTAGATCTCCTGGACACAGAAGTATCACAACATTGCCACATTTTCCCAATTATATTCCCAAATTCAAGAGCTTCAATGTATTTCACCCCTCTTTGCCATTTCTTGACCAATTCATTCCAAATTCAAAATCTTTGGCACCTTATTTGTCACCTTCCTCAAATTCTTGATTGTGGTCCAAAAATTTGGGATGCATTTTACAAACGTATCACAATAATTTCAAATCAGTTTTTGTTCCTCCTCAGTCACACCATAAACATTTGTCCCATTTCAAGTCATTCTCCAGCATTTCGGTTAGGCGACAGCTCTTCGGCATTCACGCAACAGAAATCGCAACTGTCAGTAGGCCTTATCGTCATTGCGAAGTAAACGAGTGAGCATACTTGCCTCCTCCTCTTTTACCCATTGCGACTTGACTTGAGCCACTCTGGAAAATCGTCCGCGCTCATCTTTGACCGGCGAGCAGCAGCAACAACGCTTGGCGCTGACACACGGCAACACAACACGACAAAACACAACACTTAATTATGACCAAAAAATGTGTCTTTGTTCATCTATTTATGCCAGCCATGTATCATGACAGGCAGGCGGGACAATGAAATGCTCTTCCACGAACGAGATGGCTGAATTTTCTGTTGCCATTCATGCGACAATAACGGCAACATCTCAAACTAAACACAAAAGCCAAATTTCACACTGAGTCCATTTGGGACTACACCAAGACAACATTGTCATTGTTTGGGTGTACATTTTGTTTTAGGGCCCATTTAATTTATGTGGCGTGTGTGTGTGTGCTTGTGTGTGTGTGTATGTGTGACGTCTGACCCGGATCTGTGGCTTCGGCTGCTCATCGCACGGCTGGTGGCAATGTTCCAACCACGCCTGCCTGCAACCCATATAAAAACACAAACAAGATGAACATGTTCGAAAAAAGTAGAAGGACATCAACAGGCTTGCCTTCCATGTCAATGCCGACACACAGATGTCTTCTGTTTGTCATTCATCATTCATGTCGCGGCATCTTGGTGCCAAGGAAGCCACATCTGCTCATTTTTTGTTGAGAAGCTTCATTTATTTAGTGATCGGCAACTGGGCCCCTAAAAAAAGGCTTTTTGGTTGCTTTCGAATGCCACAAGATGGCGCAAAGCATGGCATGTGTAAATGAAGCTCCTCTCCTTGCTTTAACATAGTTCCTTGGCACCAAGGTGGCGCAAAAGCAGTACTGTCATATTAGACAGCCTTACCTGCCCCAATTAAAGGCAAATAATAAAAGACATATTTCACACAGATGAACTTTTGACAGTAAAAGTGTGCTAATAATCACAGGCAGAACAGACTTTGGATGGAAAAAAAGATGACAACTGATTTGCATCCTGTGAAAGTGTTCAAAGAAATTGATTGCCGAGAGCCATTACAAGGAAGTGACGTAGGGATGTTTGATGATTGAACTCACCTGAAAGTCGGGAGGCTAAGCTAAAATAAGCTAAGCTAAGTTTTGCGCAAACGATCTAAGCTAAGCTTTCGTTAGCCGCTCCGAGCGATCGCAGTGGCATTACGCAACGTGGAAGCTCAAAACTGCAACTGACGTTGCCGGTCCGTCCGCCGCCGCCGCCGAGCGTCCAACGGCTGACCCTCCAACCGCCGCCCGATCAAAGAGCCGCTCGCCCATTGGCCCCCCATCGCCGCTGACGTCACTCTTTATATGTCACCTTAGCTTTGTGACAAAATTGCTGGGTAAAAACTTTTTGTTTTTCATCTCCAAACGACATGTAGTGATACATATCAATAGGAAATTGTGCAACATATGAAATACTAAGCAGTCACTTCATTAGGAACACCATGTCACAACATCCAAAAGTAAATCATATTCAATGGATTTTCATTTTATTCACTTGATTCGGATCCCCATTAGCTTTGGTTGACGCCATCGTTATAGTCTTCCTGGAGTCCGCATCTCCCATTGCCCTCTTTACACTGCAGCATACTGTCAAAACACACACACACACACACACACACACACACACACACACACACACACACACACCATTTATATGTGATACATTTAGTCGGCTACAGAACCCAGTTCAAATTGACATGATTTCCTTGGCGATCACACGCATGAGCGAACGTCATCCAAATGAATGTCAACTAATCCAATATTGTTACATTTATCGAAAAATGTAAGTGGGTCTCATGGTCACGGGTGAAAATGACCATTATTATTGACAACAGGGCAGGTAGCATCAAGTGACAACTGGCTGGCTGGATATGAACTGGATAGGCTTCCAACGGGGATTTGTTCTTTTCTTGACCGATGAGGCCCCGTTGTCAATGTAGTCCAGGGTTCTCCAGACAGAATTGGATTCTTCAAACGTAGACTCGGGTAAGGATTGACCAAAAGGTTTTATTCATATAAAAAAGTGCAAGAACGACAAAGTCCAACAAAGGATGTCGGTTACAATAAACTGGGAAATCACACGATGAACTAAAAACGCATGCAAAGTGAAGGACAAATAAAATGTACTTGTCATAAAAGGAAAAGAAAACTCAAAGCACGTAGAACACAAACCAAGACTATAATTATCAACCAAAACATTACTCACACAGAACAAAGAAAATACGAGGCGAGAAACTACAAGGCATGATAAACATTAAGCACCTATAGAATTCAAGCCCTTGGATACCAAGTCATGAGCAAGACAAATTTTCCAACAGAAGAAGTGTGCATGGTGTGGCGTTTTAAAGGCAGTAGGTTACAAGACCAATTCCGTGTCAAGTGCGGCTCGTGAGGAAACGCCCGCTCTCCAGCTGAAGACTGAAGAAATAAAACAAACAGGACAGGACACGGCTCCTCTCAGCTTGTGTGTGTTCACTTTAAGTTAAGGAATTGAGTGGTAATTCGGGGGATCCAACAAATATGCAATTTCACTTAATTGGTCTGAGCTGTAGCTCACTATACCTGTTTTATCTTTGTTCTCCTATTCATACCAGCGACGTATAGTAACAGGCAAAAACATGGAAATGCTTTTCCATCACACAGCGCTCGGGTCAATCAACTTGTTGCCATTCATACCGGAAAAGTTACACAGGGGCACATTTAACACTCCGTATATAATGAGATAAAATTACGATAATGTTATTTCACTCTATGTGCATTTGAGGATAATTTTGTCTGCCGAGACTTTTTTCTCAGTCAACGTGTCTTCCTTTCCACATTCTGTTTCTGTCATGACTGTGTGGCCAAATCCTTAAACCCACTTACTGATGACACAAGGTGACGACGTCCTCATGTTTACACTCACATGTGTGCGCACACATGTGTTACACTCATATGCCATGAGTTGCATGAGGTCCATGTGTACTTGTGATACATGGACTGCATTCTGCCATGTCTTACATGTCTTTCACGGTCTTTTATACGCAATGTTATACCATACCATAATGTTTTATGGTATGTTTAGTGTATACTTGTGTACTTGCACATATAACACAAGTACAAGTACTTGTGTTATATCTCTTACAGTACATTCTGTAACATGTTATGTAATGCATTATGTTTTGTATGTCTTATTTACACTTGTTCATTCCAGGTTGTTTAGGCAAAACCATGAATCTTGAATTTTTAACAGTAACAAAGGAGGAAAAGAAGAAAAATGGAAAAAAGAGCGACAGGCTACATTAATTTCCTTGACAATTACACTGCTCAACAACTTTTTACGACATTTTTTTTAATCACCGATGCAAGTCATTTTTTTCTCGATTTATTTTTTTCCCCCGATTCCGAGCTACCCACATTTCTCCTCGAGCATATCAGGTTTTGATATCACAACTACTACTACTACTACTACTAATAATAATAATAATAATAACAACAACAACAACCATTATAATTTATGTAATGTGGTAATTGTTTTGTTATGTTATATAGTGCTAGGTTCAGAAACAGGGAACAGGTGGATTTTTTCCCCCCTCAACGTCATAGGTATGAATTACAATGCATGGTAAAATCTGTGCTTCATACGATTTTATAGGTTAAACTTCCAAATAAAAAACTGAAACTCTCGCAAAAACATGCTGTATTAGAAAAAAAAAGTAAGCATCAGTGTAAATACATTTATGGACACATGGTCTGAGTCAAATTTGGAGTTGACCGAGTTATTGTTTGAAAACCTCCACCCATATATTTTCCACACCTATGCGAGGTCGAATTACGAATTACGGGGGCAGGGAAGCCCAGACTGCCTTTTCCGTAGCCGCTTCATCCAACTTTTCCCGGGGAATAACTGTGCAATTGAGTTGTCCTCGGGGCCTCCTCCCGGGTGGAACCTGCCCTGAACACCTCAGCATGGTAGGGAGGCATCCAGGTCGTGTCTACATCCCCGGAGGCAACTTCAGGACCATCAAGGTCCCTGCCTTTGGCCGCCCCCTAGCTCAATGTGCACCCGATCTCTTTGCTCCTCCCACAGGTCGTAAATCCACTGAAAAGTGTTTGTATACCTCTGAATGAATATTCATCAAAGCTTCACGTTTTAATATGTGATTAATTTACGAGATTTAAAATGATAATCTGCTTCAATTCAACCCGCCCGAAGACAGGTGGGATAGGCTCCAGCACACCTGCGGCCCTTGAGAGGATAAGCGGATTAGAAAATGGATGGATGGATGGATGGATGGATGGATTCCAAATGAGTGACGATGTTCTGATGTTGTTTTCCACAGGACGGCGTATCTTTTTATAAGTATTTTCCAAATCTGAAATAAAATAAATGAGTCACACATTCAGGTTCTGTTTAAGAGTTTTGTGACAAACCTTTCTTATCATTAATATTATTATTATTGATATTATTGATAATTTTTTTTAACTGACAAAGACAGATTTCACTCAGTCTGCGTCAAGCGGTTTCATGACGTGATGACGACATCGTGCGTAAGGACGTAGCGCGCTCGGCTGGGGGCGGGGCATACGCATGGACGCGACGACGTCACGCTCCATGTTTGCGCCGCCGCCGTTGCCGCTCGTGTTAGCTGCCGGCTAAAGCGGCAGTAAGTGGACCCCGAGTGGGCTCATTCGATTCGGATCTGTGGTGTTGAGTTGCGAGAGAAGCTCGGCGGGAGTAGCCCGCAGCTGGTGCCCGCTCGCTTGCCTGCGAGCTCAGCTTGCCGCGGAGACTTTGGGTGAGTGACGAGTAGCCTTCGAGGCGGCGGGCCGCCGTTAGCCACGCTGCTAGCAAACGGGACAAAACAAGCCAGAGAAAACACGCACTCGCTCTCATTCTGTCGGAGCCGAAGCAGGTGCTAAACGTTCACAACACGCCTTTCACTCTTTTGGACGGCAGCGGTTCGCTTTTACTCACACTGAGCTTGTTTTCACGAGTGAGCCGCTCATGCTAACCGCTTTAGCTACTAGCTAGCTGGTGAGACGCAATGCTATCATTGAGGCTCACGAACAAATTGTAGCAACATCAACGCATGTAAGTGGGATTTTATTCATTTAATTGATCGTCCTTTTACTTAAACGTGTTGAATGTAAGCGTCACCGGTGAAGCGAATCCTGACGTTTATGCACTGTTTTCTCTGTTTACAAGTGTGTTTGACGTAGAAGTGCAATCACTTCACAACTAATCAATCATCAATTTAATTGACAACCACGATTTGTTAAACGATTGATTGTGTTGAGTTGATGTCGTTTTGGACATTTTCCATATCCTCTGGTGGTGGTTTGAATCTGATCTTGCTAAATATTCTTCGGACCTTACGTCATCAACCTGCAGCACAAATAGGGATTCCGATCACCTGTTTTCCCCTGTTTGACCACGTGACGTTCACAACTGTCGCTTGGATCGTTGTGACGTTAATATCGGGCGCCAGCAGAGTTTCTGTCGAGGATGACTTAACCCAAGTCGGATTTATTGATTAAAAATAATTTTTCCTAAAGTGTCAGTTGCTGGCATCCACAGTCTTCATGAGTACCCAGTACATTGAAATAAAGCCAGTTTGATACAATACCCGGTATCGGTACGTGCATGTCCCTGGTGTGCTTCTCAGGGAAGCTCTTTCTCGAATGGTTCAAAATAAGATCGTGCAGGTCAGAATTCCAAGGGGCATCTCAAATGTTGAAAAGTTGTCAGTTGCTTGCTGCACACCATCTACTGCAATCGCAAAACTGGAACTTTGTAAGGGCAGTGGAATAGTTCATGCATATCAGTCTTCAGAAATACACTGGATGAAAGGCGTCTTTTACAGTTTTGCATGCAATATTTATGGATGTCTGGTAACGTTCCCTCTTGACGCAGGTCCGTCAGGCGTGTCAACATGGCGACTGACGTGAGCTCGCCGCAGCGCTTCTTCCACATGCCGCGCTTCCAGCACCAAGCGCCGCGGCAGGTGTTCTACAAGCGGCCCGACTTCGCTCAGCAGCAGGCTATGCAGCAGCTCACCTTCGACGGCAAGCGCATGCGCAAGGCAGTCAACCGCAAGACCATCGATTATAACCCCTCTGTCATCAGATACCTGCAGGTAGGTACAGACGGCCCACGTGTCACCACCTGTTGACTAGGGACATAGGGCCTGTCCGTTATGGATTTTTGGGGGGGCTGGTGCCAGCCCCGATATTTAGAAGGGAAAAATACTGACTCCTGCTTACTTGGCTGATGAATTTAGAAATTATA